TACAATGGATGTAAAGCGCTTAGAACGCATGCGGATAAGCGCTATATAAGTGTTATTATTATTACAGGGAGAGTGAGTCAGAAGGAATTAGCATCATGGGAGCCACTTGGAGAGGGACGGTTCTCAACTGTTTACAAAGCAAACCTCAAAGGCAATAATGTAGCCGTCAAGGTTCCGAAAAATCTCAAGCAAACCAAGCCACTGCTTACAGAGGGAAATCTCCTAAGGTATTTCTACTCATGATTCTCAGAGGTTACTCAATTTCTCAGATACAGAAGATGGAAAATATTGTTTTGGTTTTGCGATCAGCCATTTGTGGATTTTATCACATGGGGAAGATTAAATTAACCTGTTATCAAGTATTTCAGGGCACTGAAATTCTGTTAATTATTAATATGGTGGTATCTGTAGTGCACTACTCTACACAGAGCAGGCCGGAAGTGTTGGAAAATACCATAATACTAACAGAAAAATATTAGAAATACACCCTAAGTTGAAAGACGTGTAGTTGTCAGTATATAGTGCTGAAATTATGAGTCATTTCATCTGAAAGTACCCCTGAACATCAGCATGATAATTATGCATTTTTTACATAATAATTATTGCCCCAGTTTAGTATAAAGCTTCATGTTTTCTAACTAATTGTCCTAATTAGTATTTTTCTTTTTATTTCAACAGGGATCTTCGTCATGACAACATTGTTGCATTTAGAGGAATGAATATTTTGCAAAGTGATATTGTACATGAGAAATTTACTCTAAAAGCAGGCAGTCCTTTCCTAGTAATGGAATACATCCCTAAGAATCTGTACAGATTTGTGGAAGATCACAAAACTCCTGAATCTCAGGGACTTCCCAGAGGTCAGGTGTGGACTATTGGCAGAGGAATGGCTCATGGTTTGATGTACCTGCATGGTTTGAATCCACCCATAAGCCACAGAGACTTGAAGCCTGATAATATTCTGGTAAGTCTTTCTCTTTTTAAGACTTAGTTGTTATTTCTTTTTTTGAGTAAAGACTGTGTGATTGTTCCATTAGATCCACTGAATTCTGAGACTTTCTGTGGGTATTTCTGATTGCTGTTGATGAGACAATGCTCTTAGAGATGAAAGTGGCAAGCACATCCCGGGGGGCACTCCCCTATAAAAGTGATGGAAGACCCCCCCCCCCTCCCCGGGGAACGCTTTACCATTCTGGTCAAGTTTGACAATGTAAGTTTTGCAATGATGGCAAAAAAATGTGCCGAAAAGTGCGCTCCACATTTATTAAGTAATGGGTATCCAACAATGAATGAATCCTATTTTCAAATTTTCTTGAATGACTGAATGCCTCCATGGTGTGATTTGTGTACGCTAGGGAAGGAAATGAATCCGGGGATGTGGTATATTATTTTTATAGGCCATGTGGCTAAATGATTTATAATTTGAGTTTTGTTCATTTGATTGCATTATTAGCTGGATGTCAGGAGTTTGAGGGTTAAATTAGCGGACTTTGGTTTGTCACGGACAGTAGAAAGAACTGGAAATGATCTCTCTTTATTCCATTCACGCTGGTCAGCTCCTGAGGTTTGGGAAGATTACATGTACTTTGATGAAGAACCTGTAGAAGGTAAAGGTCCATGAAAACACAGATTGTCAATGAACTTATTTACATTTCATTAAAATTATATAAAGGTGTTCCTGAATTTTTTTGTTTTGTAAAATTACTAATGATATCAAACACAGACCACAATTTTTGGGCAACACTGTTTATTGACTAGCAAATCAGACTTGAGATCAATAAATGAAACTACTGGGGGTGGAGTGGGTGGGAAAATGTTGACAAGCTCCAAACTGGCTGAAAGGGCCTAAGTGATCTGGAAGACGATTTACTGCGGCAGCTACTATACTGACAGCTAAGGAGCATGTTCTCATTTGGTAATTACCCTTCATCACCTTGGGTGATTTTGGTTGTCTGAATTGTAATAATAGTGCTCGAAATAACTGTAGGAAAACGTACTACAACAATCAGTCAATAAAAATATTTCTATTTAAAATACTTTCAGCTAAGAATGACTATGTTGGTGCTGGATTTAATATTTTACTCTAAATTACCACTTCACCTCCAGAGAATGAGGCTCTTGAAGACCAGCCCACAGAAGATTTTACTGATAGCCAAGACGATGAGTTATTTTTCCTGCGTGCTGACATCTACTCTTATGGACAAGTGGTAGCTTACACTTTAACAGGAAAGATGCCATGGCATGGCCGGAACTCCGTGAGTGTAGAAGGAATTCAAAATAATATGATTCAGTCTCTTGATCAGGTCGAGATTCCTGAGGAACTGAGTGGAAAACTGAGGAGTGTTATTCATGACTGTCGCCTGGAAGACCCACAAGCACGTCCTACAGCTGATAGATTAGTTCTAGATTACTTTAGTGGTAAGGGCATCATTTTATTAATTTTATTTTATAGACACGAGTGTTTTACTGGAAAATATACCACTCGTAAAATTCATAAAAACTACATCCAGGACCCGAGTGGTTTATTTTCCATAATCTCACGCGTGAGTTTATTTGATGATGTAATTTTGGTAATTTCCCTTTATCATTTTATCGATGTCATTTTGTCGTAGGTGATATGAATCCTTATCAAGCTGAAGCTAAAAGTGCTGAATTCTTCTCGTGTGGCTTCCTTCAGCACACTTCTATTTTTGTTGCAGAGAGCTTGGTTGATGGGGTAAAGATTTGGCTTAATTCTGAGGCACAGTTGAGTGACACAAATTCTCCTGCCCAGCTTATCGTGCATTACTTAACAGGGATATCCCCTGGGTAAAAGGGTCATTTATTGAAGTGAAGGTACCCAAATACTGAAATAGGGGTTTAAAATGAATGGTCACGCCCAGGGATTTTGTCTAGTGACTCAAAAGTTAGAACCACTTTTCACAGCATCAAAAAGAGCACTAAAAAAGTGCTGCTTTCATTTTTATGGTCACACTTTAGGATTTCTTCCACAGACTTAAAAGAACCACCCTGTACAGCACAAACAATACCACAGGAAACTGATGCTCAGTAGCTTTCATTTGGATGGTCACACTTAAGGATTTTATTCACAAACTGAAAAGGTACAAGTACCTTAATACATGGCTCAATAATTGACCCAGGAAGTGGAATGGTAACTGTATCAATTATTCAATTTAATTCATTGCAATTTTGACCTGAGCTTAGTTTTGCTGCTTTTCAATCAATTAGTCCAGTGAAGGATTCTTCAAGACTGGAGTACGTCCCCAAGGATTTCCTGCTCAGTGTCTTTTGTGCAAAGTGGAAGTGGGAAATGAAGAATATAACAACGTTCCCAAAGAATGGACATACGAGCAAAAATACCGGGGGTATTATGATCACTTTAGACAGGTATAGAAAATATACATAAGACGTTTTAACGGGAAGTGGGAAAGGAACAACCTGGCACGCGCGAGAACGCAAGGGGCACGCGAGGAAAAGGTTCCCCGACTTTCTCCCTCGCGTACGCCCGATTTTTCCTTCCCCTCTCTCGAACCCCTGTGGTACAGAGACGTAAGCAGTGCACTCGAGGAAGCCACCCTGTCCACAGAGTTTTTCACAAAGAAACCTTTTCTGAGGGAAAAGCCCTGGTAGCATGCGTAGCAGGCGCTTAGAGGTAATGGGCGCAAGAAAGATCGGGGTGCGCGAGGGAGACACATTTTGGGGAAGTTGAAGACAGATCTACAGTAAGGTAAGAAAACAAAACTCTGCACGAAGCTTTTCCAGCCACAGCAGAATAGCGACACCTTAATTTCCAGATAGAGTTGTTCTTTTAAATGTATCTGGTTCGTTGAAAAATTTTCACTTTCGGCTCGGAAGTGGGGAAAGGGGCTTAAATCTAAAATTGAAGGTAAATCTGAGGATTATCTCCCCCACAAAAGCGAAAAAACTAGTCGTAAGTTTTATTTTTTACGCCGTTTTCTAATGATCAGGTGTTTTTCTTCCCAGTCTTTAAACATTTTTCCGTTCCAAATTAAATGCAGTAGTTTGCTCGCGGGCTCTCTCGGTCACCTACTCCTAAACCAAGACAACTTGCTTGCTGCAAGGTGTAACTGCAATAAACCATTGACATAGACTCTGGCGTCGTAAGACCATTGAGTGTTTTTTTTTTTTGCATGTCTAGGCGGCCATCGATAAGACGATAGAAGAACTTCCCGCCATTGCGCTTAAATCTTTGATCACTTCCCGAGAGGACGAGGAGGAGCGACAGGAAATCCAGCTTTCATTTGGCCAGACAACATACTGTCATCACAGGGCCGTAAGAGAGATCTGGAGGAAACTTGAGGAGTCTAACAAAAGAGAGCTTGTCGTGTGTAAGAATATAGTACATCCTGTTTTTAGCACCTCATTTGGGCTCCATGTGGCAGTGCATACGGCGGACAAACCGCAGAAATTTATATTTGCAAGAAGATCTAATCGAGGTTAGTTATTTTAGGGGACAGACTCGTGGTTTAACATGGCGCGAGACAATCTCTCTAATTTTTGGCGCTCAACGTTATGTCCTCACTTGCCTGAAACTGTTTTGCGCTGTCCCCAGGGCCCTTTTCTATTCACAGGGATTTGTAGGGAAAACCACCCTTGGAGCTAGGTTGAAATTTGAAGGTAGGCATTCGACAAAGGTTACCGGTCATTTCGCCCCGGTTACTTATTCCTCGTTCTATAAGCCAGAAAGCAAAACAAGCACGCTTCAAATATAATATTTCTCGTTCTAGAAAAGGGGGCTATTTCATTTTGAAGCGTGATAAATGACTCGAAAATAGGGGGCTAAGTAACCCGGGGCGAAATGACCGGTTACCTAGACGAATGCCTTATTTCTGTTACGAACTCTTTCGAGTTTGTTACCGTTTCTATAGCAACTGCTGATCAGTTAAAATACGTGCTTACAATAAAATGAACCAATCAGATCTCAGATCAGTCAGGTGTACCTGGTGCCAAAAAGCGCGGGAAAAAGCATGGGAGCAAGTCATGAGGCTTTTGACTTCCTTTTAATTTGTTGAGAAAGTGGCGCGAGATTTTCAGGCAATCAAAAAGCGTAGCAATTCAAGGTAAAGGCAATGACTTAACAATAACTTAAGTAGTGTGTTTGAAACTAGCAATACACTAAGAGAGGTAGATCAAAGATAGTTTGACAATTGTGATAGTCTTAATTTCTTTTTAAATTGTCCTATAGATAGTAGTGTTTTTATTTCTTGCGGCAACGACTACCATAATCTATTTCCAGTAAAGCGAACAGAAAATTGTTGATATAATTTGTGGGGATCTTAGGAAGAGCAAGACGTATTCAGGTTTTGCTTTCTCCTTAATTGCTTGACATGGTTTCCCCGGCATTTGGTTTTAGAGGGAATGGCAACTCCCGGCAAATTCACTTGTGGAGCCGTGGAGAGCGCCTCAGTAAAGGACTATGTCTACAAAGATGGCCAAGCTTACGTGGACCTGATCCAGACAGCCGCGCGAGGACTGGAGGAAGAACTTCGTGTCGAGCTGAAAGGAAGCGATATCGAGGCTCTTTGCCTCACAACCGTATACCTCAAGTTCGACACGCACGAGTGGGGTTGTTGTTGCTACGTCGACCTGTTGGATCCCCGAGTCTCGCCCGAACGCCGACTGACGTACAAGCAGATAGAGTCTAGGTTCACCTCAGGCCCAAAGGACAAGTTCAAGCACGAGGAAGTGGTTGCTGTGGACTTTGAACTATCGGGGATGGTCGAGTTCGTACGGGACAATTACGAAGATTTTGCCAGCTCTGCTAAGCTGGTGGTAGTGAAAGTTTTGCAATCTTTTTTTGGAGTTGCTGCTGTGGAGAGAGCCTTTCGTGTTTACATGGAAGATCGAGAGAGCGTTTCCCAAAATGCTGATTTGCAAATTTAAGCCACCTTGTTCCGGGAACGGGTCAAAAATTTTTTAGAGAGCAACTAAACAAAATGCAAATCTCACACTGGAAACTTGTACCCTTCATTTATTTGTTAAGAAGGCTACATCAAGTAAATGACATTTTCGCAATTTAGCTAGAAAACAAAAGATTACTGAACTAAGGAACAGATTTTAAGGGAGGCTACAGCTCACTGCTGGTACAATCTTCTTCTCAGTTTTACAACGACTCCGGCTAAAAATATATTCAATTGTAAAAGAAATTGTAGAAATAGCTTATTCGAGAAAACTCCCTCCTCAAATGATAAGAGCCACATGGTGGCGAAGAATACCATACTTTATATGAAAGAAGATCATCGCAGTTATAAACGTGAAAAGAGAGCCTGAAAAAAATTCATATCTCATTATCATTTTCATTTAAATAATTGTTTGTGTGTTTATATGTCACCTTCATCACATTTACTTACTTATTTATATATCTTTTACTTAGCCCATAATGAAATGGTTAACTAAAGCAGTGCTGTACATTTTTTAAATACACAATAGTTTATGTAATTTAAGTCTATATCTACATTGGAATACGAAAACCGAACTGGTGAGAAAAAGGCCTCACTTGCACAACAGGATTACTGTGACGTAACTCCTTCAAGTTGCGCGCGAAAGCTCACGGCGGTTGCCGGTTAACATTTGAAGAAATTGTGCATGATGTGAAATGATGTGAATTTGAAACTTTATTTCTACTTCGTTTTGGAAAGAAAACTGTTAGTACCTTTCTGAGGCATCGCCTGCAATTGTTATGATCTCTTATATTTGCACAGACATTATCGTATCGAAAGCATATTTTTGAAATATGAGCAGGAAACGAGCAGCGACCTTTCAAGTTTGAAACAACCAAGAAAGTTGGAAGTTCAGGACTTGTACGCTAAAATATAACTATCTTTAAACATGGATTGATGGTAGTCGACTCAGGCACGTAGGGCCAGCTGTGGTACCACGGTTTGAAACGTGCGGAAAGAGAGTCAAAAAACAAGGTTTCATCCACCGTTAACTGTTTATTTTTTTCTGCTTTATCTACGCGAATTTTATTATAGTTTTCTTCGGACTGAGTTGGCTTTCCCTTTTCGGCGCTGACTCTCTTTCCAGGTCTGTTCACTGTGCCCCTGATGAGAATGACAGACCTTCTGAGCAGACTAAACTTTTTAAATTGACATCAGTCTATGTTCCCATCTATATTAGTGAGCTCACTAGAACTTAATAACAGTGTGACATAGCTATTTATCTATGTAATTCTCGTACCATAGCTAAATGAGTATTTACCACTTACTCATCAGCATATGGGGCGGGGGGGCTGGGGGGGCTGCAGCGCCCCCCCCCTGTCGGAAAAAAAATAGTATTATTCGGGCAAAACTGATGTACCGTTCGGGCAAAGACACAGTAAAAAATATTTTATTATTTAATATCTTGATTTATTTGTTTTCATCCCACATCTCGCCTAATCTTCTAACTGATCTCTGTACTACTTCACGGGATGGCTGTTATTACTCGGAGTTAGAACATTGAGTTCTGCCGAGGGACTGGGAATGATAATCAAGACTGCGCTGGGACTGGAACTGCGTATGAGTTGGCGGCCGTGTTGATTTATGTCTGTGACAAACAAGTTTCATTCGGGCAAATTATGTTCAGCCCCCCCAACAAAATTTTTCCCGTACGCCGGTCCACTTACTTAATGCTATACATTCTTATTAAAAGTAACTAACGTATTTGTGGCTATTTTTGCCGCAGCTACATGTAGTTTATGCTCAATGAATTAATGTGTGGTCATTGAACTACTGGTGTGGTTATTGAACTGTTGCGTACTTATTGAACTGCTGTGTGGTTATTGAACTAACAAAAAAGAAAACTGTATCTAAAAATAAACCGGGCCTTGAAAATATGAGAGTTGTTCACTCCGCATTATGGGGAGCCTGCTAGCAGCCTAGGTTATAGGCTCTTAGTTCTTGTAATCCTGCCTTTTTATTTAAGTTTTGTGAAGGAAAACAATTAATGGATGTACCCCCCAATCCTCTCACCTAGATCAAGTGCCCTCCTCGGGTGCTGAATAGGCCCCACCCCTCTCGAAGAAGAACTTACAGAATAAACAAGGAGTTAAAACCAGTTTGACCCACTTTTAAACCTCATTCATAAATCATTATAACTATTTACACTTAATGCTATGCCCAAAACTGCTATAAGGGTCATAACCCATCACACCTGCCACGGTTGAGCTCACTTGATGTTACAGGTGATCAAAGTGGCCAGCTTAAGGTGACACTATAAATTTATCATATGTCTGTTTCCATTAAACAAGTGTGAAAGATTTTTTGAGTAGCCAAATCCTGGAAAAACCCTGGAAAAATTTCCAGAAATGCAACGAAAAATCCTTGATAAATTTTTTTACCTTGTTGATCTGTCATCTTCCATTCTGAAGGTATCAGCTGAAGACTACTTTGAAACTGTTCTTGGGCTTCAAACCCTGACCCTGTTGAGGACAATTTAACCCTTTAAGTCCCAAGAGTGACTAACATCAATTTTCTCTTGACAATATCAGTATATGATCAAATAGAAAGGTAATGAGAATTAACAAAATGATCACTTAAGGAAATCTGAGTTGATCTTTTAACAAAATCTCTTCAGCAGTCTTTCAAGAAATGTGTGGAGGCCAGTGTGAATAATAATTTGTATGTTGATCTTGGGGCTTAAAGGGGTAAATCTTTCATTTTGCTGTCCTGTTTAAGACAAGAGACCTTATCTCATGACCCTGAATCATTTGTTTTGCATAAATAATTATGGTAGGTAATTTTTAAACTGACATCGTGGAGTTTTTTCGAAAAATTGTTGGTACCACATAAACAGACCGCTCATGACCAATCTTTACCCTTGTCTGCTCCAAAAAGATACCCTGTTCAAGGAGCTAAACGGTGAAAATGTGTAAAACTTTTATAAGGCCCTAAAAACCATACCATGTCCAACGGCACATAGCCATATAGGCCAAAAAAGGAAGTGCCCACCCGCCAGTGTGAGGACACGGTAAATTAATGGCCGTCATTCTCGATTTTTATCTTCATGACAAAATTAGAGGCTCACCGGAATGACTCATTCTAGAATGAGGTCATTCAATTTCCATATATTTCTCTGTATTTGTTTACATGATAACCGAACAACATTTTGTTCCTGTTTAAGTCATTCCAATTTTCATTCAGAATGAAATCCTCATTCTAGTTCAAAATTTCATTCTGATATCACGTAAACTGAAAATGACCTTCATTCCAGATTGAAAATCGCAAGTGGTTATGCAGAATTTGGGGGGACAAATAAGGTGCATTACGGGAAATGTGGAATTGGCGTATTTCGCGCCATCTTTTAAGTGTTTTAATAATTCAAAATGAAGAATAAGGGCCAAGTCGCACTAGAGGACAAAACTGTTTATTTATGTCAAAAATCTGTCATCACAATGAAAAACCAAGTGCGACCGGTTTGTTCACCAAAGGACAAAATTTGGTCGCAGACGGACAAACTTCAAAGATGCCGTCGACTACCTCTGGAGCAGGCCAAATTGAGACAAATTTTGGAAAACAATAGCAAGGGTGTTTTAATTCGGAAATGATTTGACAGGTGATTTGTAGCAGAGTCTCTATGCTATAGACTTCGTTGTAAAATTAATCACGTTCTCATTTCGCAACAACATGAATTCCGGCGCGGGCGACAATTTTTTTCCGCACGAATATCCACAATATCCACCAGGATGGATCTATCCTTTGCCAGGCCCTTACATGTTTAATGATCGAGGAAATCCCAGCCCATCTTCTTCGACCATGAGTGCTGACTCGTTGCCAGAATCCCTCCGGTTCAGCGAAGATTTAATGCCGCCATCAACCCCATGTTCTTAGCCCCGTGCATCTTCGTCAGCCGAGAACAAGAAGGCTCAGGACAGATGGAGTATAGAAGCTTTTAGTTCACTGAACTGAGGGCTGAAAAGCATGGTGTTGTGTTTTGTTCACAGATTTTGTTCTTAAGTGCGACTGTAGCTTTCCGGACAAATTTTTTGTCACTGGCCGATTTCAAGTCGGATTTGTCCAGAACAAATCTGAAATTGCCCTCTAGTGCGACTTGGCCCTTAAGATCTGCATGCGTGAGGTAGCTTTGTTGTCACCACAAAGTATCCCCAAAGGACTTCGTTGTCTTCATTGTTCGTTTTACAATACAAGTAACAATTCGCTATAGTCAAAAGGTTGGAACTACGTTCACTAAAACAACATCATTTCTCTCCGCGCATTTCTTATATGAACAGTTGCAATCGTATAGTAAAACCCTCAAGATAAGATGCTGAGGCGAGAAGGTCAACGATCGCGCGTTTAATTTCACAGTTCTAACAACAATTTGTGCTACATAATATTAAAATGCACAATTTCACTCACCAAACGTAGATATCTTATGAAGTATGAATCAGTCTAACGTGCAGAATACCTGCATCAGTTCGCTCTTCCTCCTTTTCCCCACGTCATATCTTACATCAAGTTTGATTGGCTCAAGTCCCTTCGCCTAATATGGAGACAACTGCACCGAGAAAACCAATGAAAAACGCTGTACTATTCAACAGCATTTTCCGGGAATCCCCTTACAGACTTCGGCCATCTTGGTTTAGGACTTCAGAGCTGAGTACCTGCAACTGGCAACGAAGTACCAGTTATATGCAGTAGACGAAATACAGGGATCGGTCTTAAAGAATCATGACTCATTTGGCTGATAACTTTGCAAGTTTATCGTTAAAGGATGTCGCGGGAAATAGGTTCGCATTATTAAACAAAATTCAGGAACAAGTCTGTTCTGCAATCAGCGCTCTTCACAGTGGAAAAGACCTGTTATCAATAAAAAAGAATGTTCAATACATCTTGGAGCAAGTCAACAAGAACCTAGATTTGATCAAGGCTTCATGCAAGGAAGAAGGTACTAATTGACACTTGGCGGGAAACGGATTTTATACATTGTCTGCTGGTTGGATCATGCCCGGGGGGGATACTCCTGGGAAATCTTAGCGAGGGTGTGCTGCCCGGTTCTCCAAATCCTGACACTATTTCAGGGGAAAAAAATGCCACTTTTCACACCCTTATTTAGACCTGATCTTTAAGAAATTATGTCATTATTACTTAAATTAGAACAACAACAACAAAAAGTGTAAGCCCAGGGTCCTGGGGGTTACTCCCATACATTACCTATACGGGTATGTGCCGCCCAAAGGGGTCGTGATTTTGAAGCTCCTGATTTAGAACGGATATTTCGAACGCACGAAAGCTTCACTTTTGAAAGCAGCTATTTGAAAGTATTCAACGACAGATTGCTTTTAAAAATACGGTTCAATGCGTTAACAAGCAAACTGTTGTACTCTTGTTGCACCCTAGAACGAAGTATAAAAAATTGGCCCATTCCTAGAACGGGGTATCAGTTTTAGGGGAAACTTTTTCTAGAACGGGGTGCCAATTTGGAGCCCCGGGCGGCACATACCCACCCAAAAAATACCCAAGTGGCCCCCCCAGCCCAGGGTCAGCCCATCAGGTTTAAGTGGCTTTAAATGACACGTAAATCATACATTCATATTACAACAATCTGTAGTGTTTCATTCATTTATTAGTCATTATTTTGCTGCAATATATCATGTTCTAAAAAGGTATCCAGAGATTGAACTTGTGATAGTCAGGTAAATTCCTTGTCCTTTCCAGAGGAGAGGGGATGAGGGCTTTGTCTTTGTCGGAATTTTAAAAAAAGGGAGATAGCAATGAGTTGTAAAGAAACTATTACAGTTCTGCAATTTCTCAGTTAACATTTCGTGTATCGAACACCTATACATCGCCATTCACAATTAAGTGATCCACATTCAACATTTTAAGACTAACTGACCTGGCAAATCGTGAAGGCAAGGTGGTCTACTCTGTAAGAGTGGTTGGAAGGTCGGTGGTTAGGTATCGTCATGTTGCTTACATTAGACAAGAAACTTGAGGTGGCTCCGTCATTAATACTATGCTATGACAAATGTTCCATCATAACTTTTTTTGTTTTAACGCAATGGCTGCAAAACCATTGCAAAGAACAAGAGGAGTCATTCAGTAATAAAATATGAAATATTCCGATTTCATTGATGCTAAATATTTCTTGAGAAATTAGCGCTTAAAAGGACTCTTCCCTTCAAAGAAAATCACGTCTAGTAAAAAATTTTGCTGATATTATTACTGACTTTTGTGGTATCAGCTTTTATTGATATAATAAATATGCCAGCGAAATTTCAGAAAAATGTTTGGAGCAGAATTCGGTAACTAAAAATCACTCAAACTTCAGCTGTGAAGTTGTTTTGGAATTTCAAACGTTAATTACTATCACGTAGAAGGAATCACCAGTTCAAATTTTCACGACAAGTAAATTCAATGTTTGCTAATTCTGAAAACAAAAACCAATTGCCTATTGTGCTATTCTTTAAACGGTACTTTTTAGTTTAAGAAGCAGTATAAATTGCTCAAAACCTTGTTCTGACATCGAATGCTTTCTTTCTAACCATTTTTAAAGTATCCCTTAGCAGTTTTGGCTCAAACTCCGGCTACATACATTTTGATGTATTGCAATGCATCCTTGACGGCTTTTCCTGCTCAACATTGCTTCCAATTCATGAAAAAGACATCTGATGTTTGTTGCCTGATGTCTAATGTCAGACGTCTGATGTTATATGTTATGTTATATAACTGTTATCAGACGTTTGATAACAGTTATATGACAGCACACGTCTGTTGTCAAATGTCTGACATCAGACATCTGATAACAGATTATATAACAGTTATGTTTGTTTTATAACAGTTATATGACTATCTGTTATATACAGTTATATATAACTGTTATACAGTTATATAACTGTTATATAACAGTTGTCATATAACAGTTATATGACTGTCTGTTATATAATAACTGTTATATAACTGCTATACAACAGTACATATAACTGTTATATAACAGTATATAACTGTTATATAACTGTTATATAACAGTATATAACAGTTATATAATGTCAGACGTCTGATAATAGTTATATGACAGCAGAGGTGTGTTGTCAGACGTCTGATAACAGTTATATGACAGCAGAGGTCTGCTGTCAGATGTCTGATAACAGTTGTATGACAGCAGAGCTCTGCTGTCCTATAACTGTTATTACACGTCTGATTTTATATGTTATTTTATACATTTATATATTTTTTACATCCGATGTCTTTTTTACACAAGAATTTTGAGTGTTACAAAAATTGAAATTTCTAGAGTAGGGGATTTTGTTAGGTCTTACTACCAGCCCTTAGGTTTTTTTTTTTTTTTGAGTTTTGATTATATCCTCTCTCAATCTTTCCTACCACTCACACTTCCGAGTTTCACTCCTATAGGATTTAAGCTTGGGGGAAGGGTACTCTCTTATATAAACTATATAGGCATGCCTGTTGCGACCTGTTTAGGACTTGAATCTGGGATGTCCAGTGTCCTATAACCACTCAATCATGTTGGTCAAATATTGCAGCATCATCAGGGTTGAGGATTACAGGGAGAGTGAGTCAGAAGGAATTAGCATCATGGGAGCGTCTTGGAGAGGGAGGGTTCTCAAGTGTTTACAAAGCAAAACTCAAAGGCAATGATGTAGCTGTCAAGGTTCTGAAAAATCTCAAGGAAACCAAGCCACTGCTTACAGAGGGAAATCTCCTAAGGTATTTCTACTCATGATTCTCAGAAGTTACTCAATTTCTCAGCTACAGAAGATGGAAAATATTGTTTTGGTTTTGCGATCAGGCATTTGTGGATTTTACCACATGGGGAAGATTAAATTAACCTGTTATCAAGTATTTCAGGGTATTGAAATTCTGTTAGTTATTAATATGGTGGTATCTGTAGTGTACTACTCTACACAGAGCAGGCCAGAAGTGTTGGAAAATACCATAATACTAACAGAAAAATATTAGAAATACACCCTAAGTTGAAAGAAGTGTAGTTGTCATGATAGTGCTGAAATTATGAGTCATTTCATCTGAAAGTACCCCTGAACATCAGCATGATAATTATGCATTTTTTACATAATAATTATTGCCCCTGTTTAGTATAAAGCTTCATGTTTTCTAACTAATTGTCCTAATTAGTATTTTTCTTTGTATTTCAACAGGGATCTTCGTCATGACAACATTGTTGCATTTAGAGGAATGAATATTTTGCAAAGTGATATTGTACATGAGAAATTTATTCTAAAAGCAGGCAGTCCTTTCCTAGTAATGGAATATATCCCTAAGAATTTGTACAGATTTGTGGAAGATCACAAAACTCCTGAATCTCAGGGACTTCCCAGAAGTCAGGTGTGGACTATTGGCAGAGGAATGGCTAATGGTTTGATGTACCTGCATGGTTTGAATCCACCCATAAGCCACAGAGACTTGAAGCCTGATAATATTCTGGTAAGTCTCTCTGTTTTTAAGACTTTGTTGTTATTTGTCTTTTTGAGTAAAGACTGTGTGATTGGTCCATTAGATCCATTGAATTCTGAGACTTTCTGTGGCTATTTCTGATTGCTATTGATGAGACAATGCTCTAAGAGATGAAAGTGGCGAACGCTTCGCGGGGGCACTCCCCTATAAAAGTGATGGGAGCCCCCCCCTCCCCAGGGAACCCTTTACCATTCTGATCAAGTTTGACAGTGTAAGTTTTGCAATGATGGCAAAAAAATGTGCGAAAAAGTGCGCTCCACATTTATTAAGTAATGGGTATCCAACAATGAATGAATCCTATTTTCGAATTTTCTTGAATGACTGAATGCCTCCATGGTGTGATTTGTGTACGCTAGAGAAGGAAATGAATCCGGGGATGTGGTATATTATTTTTATAGGCCATGTGGTTAAATGATTTATAATTTGAGTTTTGTTCATTTGATTGCATTATTAGCTGGATGTCAGGAGTTTGAGGGTTAAATTAGCGGACTTTGGTTTGTCACGGACAGTAGAAAGAACTGGAAATGATCTCTCTTTATTCCATGCACGCTGGTCAGCTCCTGAGGTTTGGGAAGATTACATGTACTTTGATGAAGAACCTGTAGAAGGTAAAGGTCCATGAAAACACAGATTGTCAATTAACTTATTTACATCTCATTAAAATTATATAAAGGTGTTCCTGAATTTTTTTGTTTTGTAAAATTACTGATGATATCAAACACAGACCACAATTTTTGGGCAACACTGTTTATTGACTAGCAAATCAGACTTGAGATCAATAAATGAAACTACTGGGGGTGGAGTGGGTGGGAAAATGTTGACAAGCTCCAAACTGGCTGAAAGGGCCTAAGTGATCTGGAAGACGATTTGCTGAGGCAGCTACTATACGGACAGCTAAGGAGCGTGTTCTCATTTGATAATTACCCTTCATCACCTTGGGTGATTTTGGTTCTCTGAATTGTAATAATAGTGCATGAAATAACTGTAGGAAAACGTACTACAACAATCAGTCAATAAAAATATTTCTATTTAAAATACTTTCAGCGGAGAATGACTATGTTGGTGTTGGATTTAATATTTTACTCTAAATTACCACTTCACCTCCAGAAAATGAGGCTCTTGAAGACCAGCCCACAGAAGATTTTACTGATAGCCAAGACGATGAGTTATTTTTCCTGCGTGCTGACATCTACTCTTATGGACAAGTGGTAGCTTACACTTTAACAGGAAAGATGCCATGGCATGGCCGGAACTCCGTGAGTGTAGAAGGAATTCAAAATAATATGATTCAGTCTCTTGATCAGGTCGAGATTCCTGAGGAACTGAGTGGAAAACTGAGGAGTGTTATTCATGACTGTCGCCTGGAAGACCCACAAGCACGTCCTACAGCTGATAGATTAGTTCTAGATTACTTTAGTGGTAAGGGCATCATTTTATTAATTTTATTTTATAGACACGAGACAGTGTTTTACTGGAAAATATACCACTCGTAAAATTCATAAAAACTACATCCAGGACCCTAGTGGTTTATTTTCCATAATCTCACACGTGAGTTTATTGATGATGTAATTTAGGTGATTTCCCTCTATTATTTTATCGATGTCATTCTGTCTATATAATAAAAAGAACATTACACGGCAGCTTGAAGATATGAATTTTATTTTCGAGTGGCAAAACAATATTTTACGAACGAGCGCAGCGAGTGAGTAAAATATTGTAAAACAGAAATCGTCGTCAATTTGTAAACATTATCTTAGCGAACATAACTCGGACGTACCACCTTCTCTTTCAGAACAATTTCACGTGCTCACTAAAGGTTCTAACAAATTTGATTGCCTAATTAAGGGCCTGTTTACATGGAGTGGGGGACCCCGGTCTAGTGGGGTTGGTTTCTTTTGTTTTCACGCTCTGGAGGACACAAAACAAAAGAAACCTACGCCACTTAGACCGGGGTCCCCCACTCCATGTAAACAGGGTCTAAGGAGATGCTCTTTATAAGAAAACTCAAACCATCCCTAAACGTGCAGGTGGAATCGATTCGCGCAAAGGTATTCTCTTGAAGAACTTGTGATCCTTTGTTATTATGCTAATTTGTAGAGACTATCTTCGCATTATTTATTCATTTTGCCTTGAGAATGGTGTCATGATAATACCGAAACGTCGGCTTTTAACGTTAATATATTTTGCATCATTTTGATTAATTTTTAAAATAATCTAGTATTTCATTACACCCATCAATTATGTCATTTTATGTTTGTTGTAGGTGATATGAATCCTTATCAAGCTGAGGCTAAAAGTGCTGAATTCTTCTCATGTGGCTTCCTTCAGCACACTTCTATTTTTGTTGCAGAGAGCTTGGTTGATGAGGTAAAGATTGGGCTTGATTCTGAGGCACAGTTGAGTGACACAAATTCTCCTACCCAGCTTATCCTGTATTACTTAACAGGGCTAACCCCTGGGTAAAAGAGTTATTTATTGAAGTGAAGGTACCCAAATACTGAAATAGGGGTTTAAAATGAATGGTCACGCCCAAGGATTTTGTCTGGTGACTCAAAAGTTAGAACCACTTTTTACAGCATCAAAAACAGCACTAAAAAAGTGCTGCTTTCATTGTTATGGTCACACTTTAGAATTTCTTCCACAGACTTAAAAGAACCACCCTGTGCAGGATAAACAATGCCACAGGAAATTGCTGCTCAGTAGCTTTCATTTGGATGGTCACACTTAAGGATTTTATTCACAAACTGAAAAGGTACAAGTACCTTAATACATGACTCAATAATTCACCCAGGAAGTGGATGGTAACTGTATCAATTATTCCATTTAATTCATTGCAATTTTTCCCTGAGTCTAGTTTTGCTGCTTTTCAATCAATTAGTCGAGTGAAGGATTCTTCAAGACTGGAGTGCGTCCCAAGGGATTTCCTGCTCAGTGTCTTTTGTGCAAAGTGGAAGTGGGAAATGAAGAATATAACGACGTTCCCAAAGAATGGACATACGAGCAAAAATACCGGGAGTATTATGGTCACTTTAGACAGGTATAGAAAATATACATACACTACATACCAGGACAGCCTACCTGGCTGTAGCATGTATCTTAGGCGTTTTAACGGGAAGTGGGAAAGGAACAAACTGGCACGCGCGAGAACGCAAGGGGCACGCGAGGAAAAGGTTCCCCTACTTTCTCCCTCGCGTGCGCCCGATTTTTCTTTCCCCACTCTCGAACCCCTGTGGTACAGGAACGTGAGCAGTGCACTCGAGGAAACCACCCTGTCCACAGGGTTTTTCACAAAGGAACCTTTTCTAAGGGAAAAGCCTTGGTAGTCTGCGTAGCAGGCGCTTAGAGGTAATGGAAGCAAGAAAGATCGGGGCGCGCGAGGGAGACACATTTTGGGAGATTGAAGACAGATCTCCAGTAACGTAAGAAAACAAAACTCTGCCCGAAGCTTTCCCAGCCACAGCAGAATAGCGACACCTTAATTTCCAAGTAGAGTTTTCGCTTTGAGTCTACTCGCAGGCTCTCTCGGTCACCCACTCCTAAACCAAGACAGCTTGCCTGCAAGGTGTAACTACAATAAACCATTGACATAGACTCTGGCGTCGTAAGACCATTGAGTGTTTTTTTTTTTTTTTTTTTGCATGTCTAGGCGGCCATCGATAAGACGATAGAAGACCTTCCCGCCATTGCGCTTAAATCTTTGATCACTTCCCGAGAGGACGAGGAGGAGCGACAGGAAATCCAGCTTTCATTTGGCGAGACAACATACTGTCATCACAGGGCCATAAGAGAGATCTGGAGGAAACTTGAGGAGCCTAAAAAAAGAGAGCTTGTCGTGTGTAAGAATGCAGTACATCCTGTTTTTAGCACATCATTTGGGCTCCATGTGGCAGTGCTTACGGCGGACAAACCGCAGAAGTTTATATTTGCAAGAAGATCTAATCGAGGTAAGTTATTTTAGAGGACAGACTCGTGGTTTAACATGGCGCGAGACATTCTGTCTAATTTTTGGCGCTCAACTTTATGTCCTCACTTGCCTGAAACTGTTTTGCACTGTCCCCAGGGCCCTTTTCTATTCACAGGGATTTGTAGGGAAAACCATCCTCGGAACTAGGTCGAAATTTGAAGGCAGGCATTCGACAAAAGTTACCGGTCATTTCGCCCCGGTTACTTATTCCTCGTTCTATAAAGCCAGAAAGCAAAACAAGCACGCTTCAAATATAATATTCCTCGTTCTAGAAAAGGGCGCTATTTGATTTTGAAGCGTAATAAATGACTCGAAAATAGGGGTCTAAGTAACCCGGGGCGAAATGACCGGTTACCTAGACGAATGCCTCATTTCTTTTGCGAACTCTTTCGAGTTTGTTACCGTTTCTATAGCAACTGCTGACAGTGCTTACAATAAAATGAACCAATCAGATCTCAGATCAGTCAGGTGTACCTGGTGCAAAAAAGCGCGGGAAAAAGCATGGGAGCAAGTCATGAGGCTTTTGACTTCCTTTTAATTTGTTGAGAAAGTGGCGCGAGATTTTCAGCCAATCAAAAAGCGTACCAATTCAAGGTAAAGGCAATGACTTAACAATAACTTAAGAAGTGTGTTTGAAACTAGCTATACACTAAGAGAGGTAGATTAAAGATAATTTGACAATTGTGATAGTCTTAATTTCTTTTTAAATTGTCCTCTAGATAATAGTGTTTTTATTTCTTGCGGCAACGACTACCATAATCTATTTCCAGTAAAGCGAACAGAAAATTGTTGCCATAATTTGTGGAGATCTTAGGAAGAGCAATACATATTCAGGTTTTGCTTTTTCCTTAATTGCTTGACATGGTTTCCCCGGCATTTGGTTTTAGAGGGAATGGCAACTCCCGGCAAATTCACTTGTGGAGCCGTGGAGAGCGCCTCAGTAAAGGACTATGTCTACAAAGATGGCCAAGCTTACGTGGACCTGATCCAGACAGCCGCGCGAGGGCTGGAGGAAGAACTTCGTGTCGAGTTGAAAGGAAGCGATATCGAGGCTCTTTGCCTCACAACCGTATACCTCAAGTTCGACACGCACGAGTGGGGTTGTTGTGGCTACGTCGACCTGTCGGATCCCCGAGTCTCGCCTGAACGCCAACTGACGTTCGAGCAGTTAGGCTCTAGGTTCACCACAGGCCCAAAGGACAAGTTCGAGCACGAAGAAGTGGTTGCTGTGGACTTTGAACTTTCGAGGATGGTCGAGTTCGTTCGGGAGAATTACGAGGATTTTGCCAGCTCTGCTAAGCTGGTGGTAGTGAAAGTTTTGCAATCGTTTTTTGGAGTTGCTGCTGTGGAGAGAGCCTTTCGTGTTTACATGGAAGATCGAGAGAACGTTTCCCAAAATGCTGATTCGCAAATTTAAGCCACCTCGTTCCGGGAAGGGGTCAAAATTTTTTTAGAGAGCAACTAAACGAAATAACTGATCTCCCACGGGAAACTTGTACCCTTGATTTATTTGTTAAGAAGGTTGCGTCAAGCAATTTAGCTAGAAAACAACAGATTACTGAACTAAGGAACAGATTTTAAGGGAGGCTACAGCTCACTGCTGGTACAATCTTCTTCCCAGTTTTACAACGACCCCGGCTAAAAATATATTCAATTGTAAAAGAAATTGTAGAAATGGCTTATTCGAGAAAACTCCCTCCTCAAATGATAAGAGTTGCATGGTAGCGAAGAGTACCATACTTTAAATGAAAGAAGACCATCGCAGTATAAACGCAACTTTTGCAGTTGCGGAAAGAGAGCCTGAAAAAAAATTCAGGCTTATACGGGATTCGAACCCGTTCAAATCCCGTACAAGCCTGATTTTTTTTTTTGTCTTTCAGGCTTTCTTTTCTTTTGTTTAATTCCTTGGTTCATTTAACTTAGTTATTTTAAAACAATACCGTCTATGTTAATGTTACTGCTAATAAAGTTGTAGTTATTGTGTTTTGACAACAGGAGAACAGTTTCTTCCACATCTCCATGTTCTTTCTTCTTACATTCTTGCGGGAGCCCATAACTCCGAGGAAGCAACTTCTGTGTACTCGTGTCACGAAGTTGTTGATAACCAGTTTATTTTAAGGAGGATTTTGGCGTCAATTTAGAATAACTTGTAATTTCTAGAAACCAGTCACTGAAAATGGTATTTTTGATGTTTTTGTGACATTTATCTGTTATCTTATACTTCGAATGCGTTCAGACGGAGAAGAGGTTCCTTTTCCCCGGGAAAAACTGCTCTAAAATGTACTGAATGTATCTAAAAATAAACCGGGCCTTGAAAACGCCATGCCATAGCCCAAATATGGGAGTTGTTCGCTCTGGATTATGGGAAGCTTACTAGCAGCCTAAATTATAGGCTCCTGGCTCTTGTAATCCTGCCTTTTTAGTTTAAGTTTGGTGAAGGAAAACAATTAATGAATGTACCCCCAATCCTCTCACCTAAATCAAGTGCCCTCCTCGGAGGCTGAATGGGCCCCACCCACTCGTTTTGGACCAAATTTCATATGAGCGCTCGCTTTAATACATGAGAAACACAAACAAGGGTTTTATCGTACGAAGATGTCCTGAAGTGTTTTATCTAAAATAATATCCAGCTGAACAAATTTTTCGGCAAACAACACGAATTTATCAAAACATTAATCGAATTAACCATAATATCCGTGTTAATTGAATGGAGATCCGCCAATGGGATCACTCTGTCTGAGCACCTGTCTCGAAAGAACGATTAATTATTGATAAATCCCATATCAACCTGACATTGGTGGTGACATTATAGCAGATACACAAGAGTCTTCCACGATCCACGATCCTTTCGTTTCGTCTGTTTCTAAAGGCGCTGTAAGTGTTTTTCATAGATATCACGACCACACGGAATGCAGAACTGAATGTAAGTTGACCATGAAGTGACAAAGCTTTATGACATTTCGGTAGCGATCTATAACACGGCTGTTTTTAATAGTGCTGACTGAAGACGCTCGCTGTTGCCTTTTCTTCGTCTACTTTGTATTTAGACTACTCATAAACACAGACGCCTCAGCTGGTAAGACAGAAGGGCAATTGAAACTTGATTTTGTTTCGCTGAAGAGGAAGATAAGGAAGAAAAAAACGGCCTTCGACAAAGCTCTTTGTAACACGGAAAAATGGAGCTGTGAAACTGAAAGATCTTCGTCGGAGCTGTTGAAAGTGCTGTTGTCATAAATACCGGCCTTAATTTATCAACCTCGATGAAGGTTACTGCTTTTTCTTAAATTTTGCGACCTACAGAAAGAATTTATAACTTGCAAAACGGCAAAAAGGGGATTAAGTCACTGGGTGGCAGGCATAATTATCAGGGTAGAAACAATCAAATATGATCAGGAAAGGTCAAGAAAGAAAATTCCAAGACAGCGATAACAATCGAATCTCAGACACATCACTTTCAGCCTCTGATATCTATGTTTAGTATCTCTGGCTTGTGTTGAAATGCAGACAAGTTAATTTGACTCATCTCCAGTAGAGTCTTTGTTACATTTGACGCTATCACAACCTCTCTTGTGAAAAAGTTTTTCGGCGCACACGATTCTTTCGAATTCTTGGTGGATACAATTGTTTCAGCAATTATTAGAAATTCCTCCTGACAAGGCTTGTTGTCGTACATGGACAAACTGCGAACATAATTTCCGTTTGGTCTTTCAAGGAAACCCTGTCTGCAGAAGCCACATATACCGGAAGCACGTAAAATTTCTGCCAGCGAATTCAGTTCCTTTGTGGCGAAAATTCCTAGAAATTGCCGCCCTTTGGCTGTATTTCAATACGTTAAGTACGTTAGTTTATGGTCTTGACCCTTGACACCGAAGTATCGCGCCTTGTCGTGTTTTCATCTCATAGCGGGGGATATATAAATTGTTGATCCCGCGCGCTTCGCCTTGCTTTGCTGTATTGTATTCAGGGCTCGGAGTTACTTGGACCGGATTTAGCGTGTGTCGCAACAGAAGTGATGTCTCGCTCGGGGACATCGAAGTGCTAAACGATTTTCAAGCCTCTAACAATGAGCATGGATAGCTTTTTTCACGCTCCCTCTTCCGTTACATTGTGAGCAACCAGAAGAACACTTCGAAAAAACATTAACATATGCCTGGTTTATAAACAATTCAACTGGATATGAATTCAGCGAAAGTTAAACGTAGTCTATCTCACCTCGATCGATTGTTCGGAAGGAAACGAACACAGACATGGCCACCCGTTCCTTTGACAGAAGTTGGCAGAGTAAACGGTTGCAGGAATTCTTTAACATTGGCGACAATTCCCGAAAGAGACTCGTCGGTCAAATCTGCAAAAACGAACTCGCCCGGAAGGCGTCGCGCGGGCACCATCGCCGACCTTCGCGCCCCGCGTGTACAAGATGAGCAACTTCGAACTATAATTTTAGACGTCTTGACATCTTATTTGGCGCAGTTTTCCGAATATAACCACAATCTTTTCGGAAGGCTTGGCCCTTTACTGAGTGAGCTCATTAAAGTTCGTGTCGAGGAAGAATCCCGCGAGACACACAAGAAATACAAAATCGTGTCCCAAGTATATATTGGCGCGGTCCTAGAGGACGGTATCGACGCAGCTACACAATGCTTGTGGACGCCATGCTGTGATAAATTTGCCACAGCTAGTTATGGAACAAAGACTTTATTTGCTGTTGGAATCGTCTTCGCCGTGCAATTGTAAATAACTATTTTTTTATTCAGACGGATTTTCTTAGGTCGTTTTCAGCTCTCCCCTCATTTTGTTCGAGGGAAGGAGACGGCTGTACACAGGCTAGTGTTAAGCTTTTAGTCCATGTTATCTTGCATTGGAAGGCGAAACTTTAATTTTCTTTTTTAATCTTTTGGCAACTTTTTAGCAACTTTTTGTAAGAGAGCAAATAATAGAATTTTTGAAGTTGTTAACATAGTTCTTCATGTTTCGTGTGGTACAAGTTAGTAAACTTTAGAAATATCATGTCTTTCTGACCGTTGCGCATCGTGCCGCTGTGATGATTAGCTCCAAATATGGATGTGCTTCACCAGAACAAAATACGAGGGAGACGCCTAGTAATCTCCTTTCGAGTGACGACGAAAGAGTGCCAGTTGAGCTTATTCGGGTTGCATTCATAAAGAAGTCTGTATTGCGGAGCCCAATAAGTGAACTTCTATTTCTAATATCAACATCCGTGGCTACAAATATTTATTTCCAGATTCTGAAAGCAACTTTTTGGCATACTATTGGGCAACTTTTTGGGCAATTTCGTACCACAATGTGGGATTCCTTCTTGCGGCATTTACTCCAGTGACTATGAAAGTTATAACCTCGTTGCTAGAGTAATCAGCTACTCTTCCCTACCAGGCTAACCAGGAGCCTGGCTCCTGTCCCTACATAATAGAATTGACTATTTTCCAATTGCCCATAATACACTCTGTTTGCCCTCCAAATTTTGCATAACTAATTGTCTTAAAATGCTCTTGGGAAAATGCAATACTCCCAGGAGCATTTAAAACAATGGTTTATGCAGAATTTGGGGGGCAAACAGAGTGTATTATGGGCAATTGGAAAATAGAGAATAGGGAGCTTAAGCAACGACAACGGCGACGGCAACGGGCGAGGTTCAACCTCGTTCCCAGGCTCTCTCTGACAGAACCCTGGAAACGAGGTTGCAATAGGTCTAGATCGGCAAAACAACAACTTTGCACGTGCATCACGCTTTTTTGTAACTTTCTTTGCCGTCGTTACACGACTTACGACGTGAAAATGTCTAATGTTACGTTTTATGAGGACGTGAACACAAGACAGCAATTTTCTTTTTCTTTTCCTGAACTTTAATACAGTCCATTAGAATTCAACTCCAGAACAAATTCGCCGTTGTTGCTTAAGCTAACTAATAAGTATAAAGAGACCCGGGGAACGAAGTGGTGAAACTCTTTTGGCTCTGTACTCCCGTTAGGAGAGCGCACCCCAAAATAGGACTCTTCTCCTCAGTCTCTCCTCACCCGTTTTTCGACCACATGATTCTGGTAGACTAGCCCGCATATTGGCAACAGGTTAGCAAAAGTGCGCCCATCGCACGTCCTTTCCCTTCCCCCTCAAACACCTGCCACACAGGCTGCGGTAAAAACAAACGACTGAGAAGGCAACTGCAAGTACAGAGAAATTGAATTCATTTTATTTAGTTTATCCTCGTGTGAAAAATAGTAACGACACAAAATTTAATGAACATCGTGCCAAAATATATTTCATTATTTGTGCTCAAACAAATTGATTGAAATTGGTCAAGTTTGTGTATGAGTCTCTTATTTTCTTAGATACGCGTGGCAAACGCGCGTACGCGTGGTAATCTCTCTTGAGAAGACGTGACGCGCGAGGAATGAGTTTTCG